AGCTGACAGATTAATTCAAGTTGACAGTACAATTCACAGCACCGAAGGCTGGAATGAAATCAAGATGTTGGGATTTGAGTGAGCAAAGGTGTACAAATACCTCTCACTGCAGCTGCATGGTGAACAAGACATGAGCCAAGAGTTTGCTCCAGACACAAATGGGAGGGCGAACACTTTCAGTGTTAATACGCATTAACAACCGGAGAAGCCATATTACGCTCATCTCTAGTTACCCACGGTAACGGCCGTGCGCAGCGACAAAGCAGTAAAAGATATGCTAAGGAAATGATCGCTTCTACCTAATCTTTCAATATTGCGTGATTTCATAGTTCAGTGGAAATGAAAGCAGAAAAAGCTAAGAAAAGCATGCTGGAGCAGTAGATCTGGGGAATAAACAGGTACTCTATTAGACAGGATAGACTGAAATTATTCAGATGGCTTTTTCTGGTTAGAAAAAGATCTGTGTATACAAACAACAATAAAAACAACACCTGGCTGAATCTTAGACACTAACCTACAGTAGGTGATCACAAATAGAAAGAATACAGGCTTGTTTGGTTGGGTTACATGAAGAAGAAAGTTAGATGCACCTGATGACATGCGTGCACAGTGTCACAAGACATGCTTTGTGAAAACCCACTGCCAGGCAGGTCAGTCTGACCACCACTGTTCGGATCGTACAATCCTTTTTAACACGCTGCAGACAGAATCAAGTGAAACTGGGTGGAAAATGCTCAGGCCTCAATTTTCGTTGCTGAAAACTGTTGATTTAAGGCGGTAGTTTGCAAACCTTACGTGGATGCAAAAGCTAAAACATCGATAAAAAAAAAATAGCAGAGTATTTCAGACTGATCAGAGACATAACCACTGGAGAGAAAGCTTTGGTTCCATCCCTGATATGCGGATATGATTTTCATCATTTTAATACAGTTCAATTCGATGTAGTAAAATACAGCTCTCTGTCCTGTTTCATTCAGATATGCCGTGCATGTACTGTAGGTCTCTTCCACTTATCCAGCTACTGTGGGACTGTGACTGGAGAAGATGGCACCTGTTCTTCAGCAAACTGTTAGCAGTGAGAATTATGGTTTTAGTAGAATTTCTCTGCGTTTTGTTGTTCTCAGCCGTGAGATGAGGAAGCATGAACTGATCATATGGGGCCACTTTACTGGGGGAATAAACTGTGCTAACAGCATGGTTACGTTAACTGCGCAGCCAGATCAAATACTGTACATCAAAAATCATCATAACAAAAAAACAAAACACAAATCAGCTTTTGCCAACAATTAAGACCAAACCCCTGCCGTGAGAACAGTTTCCTTCCCCTTTCTCTCGCTAGACAGACTTTTTTTAGTTCTTCTGGGGGAAAGTGCTGCTTATTCAACAGAAAAAAAAACCCGCAGTTGTTATTCATTTGTAAGCGTTACCCTCCGTCATGGTCACCCTAACCCTCCTCCGGCATAAGCCTTTCATATTATAATAGCTGGATGTTGCTCAAAACTAAAAACAACACCACGTTGCATTTTGAATTTCAAGCGGACAAAGGAGTCAGCGATTCACTTATTGGTATATGAATGTGCATCTGTGATACTAACGGAAAGCCTGTTTCTTTACACTTCACCGAATCAAAGAGGCCTCACAATTCAGTAGTGTTAGTAAAACACTCAGTAGAAGGAGGATTTGAGTCAAATTGTCCCGACTTGATACAAGCAATGACACCCCTACCCGCGTTTTCTATCTTTATTTTTCAGAGGTTTCTTTTAACTACACAGAGCATGTTGCGCAAGAGTCTAAAATGTCGACTTTACCCCCTCCGCTGTCCACAGAAATGTTTGATCAACAGCAAAGTTCTTGGTAAAATGTTATCTTTTGTTAATCCTACCTTTAATGGGAAATGTGGTTCGTTGCCCACCCACCAATAAAAACCAATGAGCACCTAAGCAAAGGCAGGATCCAAATTGCTAGACCCTTAAACGAATGTGAAAAAGCCATTTTCAGCTAACTCAAGATTCAAAACCAACGCCAACAACGCAAGCACACCCGGCACAATTTACTAATGTCTCTTTCCCATGAATGGTCTTTACCTACCAGGAACAAGACACTTCACTTCTCCTCTGAGTTTCAACTGTAACTTCGCTGGCCGCTATCATAATATAACGGGTTATATAATAGAGTATCTGCATGTCGTGCACAAGATTGGCAAACGGTCTTGAATGTTTGATTTTTTTTGCATGAATTTGCCATTTACTTAAAAATTAAACGACACTGGGAACAGGACTATCGCTTAGGATTCGTTTCAGAAGGAATTAAACTAGAAAGCCAGAAAATATGGAGCGCACTGAAGTCCTCAGTTCATTTGGACTTCCTGATAACAACACGCATTTTGGAACAGAAACAAAATATAGGAAAACTCGTCAGTTAATCAGGCGTTATCATGTTGGTAATCTGTTGTAAATAGTGCAGTAACTGTAAGCACAGTTCAAAGTCCCAGCTGACCAGCAAAGATTTCCCTTTCGAAACGTTCAAGCACAAGCGGTTTTCCACGCAAAAAAAAAACACGCACTAGCCAAGCCACACCACTCCGTAATTCCACGCTGTATTTACCTTGTACTGTTAAAATTTAAATTCCCACAGAACAAAGTTATAGCCCGAGAGTTTGTCTTCCTTCAAGCCTTAAGCTAAGAAGGTTTTTTTTTTCATCTAAGGCAGAGCCGATCCAAGACAGCTGTTGCTGACGCAGGGGTGTCTTGAATGAAACCTGAGAGTTGCTTCAGGTAGGATCATCACTTCGCCGAAACTTTCTGACACTTAGAAAGCAACTCAGCTAAAGCAGAGAGCGACCAGAGGAACGGCTTTAAAGATCTCACGCTTTTTTTATTACAAACCGTTAAGTAACGGGGCGACTACGGCAAAAATATATACTGCATAACGTGTCATTTTGAAGTCACTTTTATTCTGTACCTAACGTGACGTTTGATTGTCGTTTTGCAAATATTCTTTAACCTAAAGATACGCAAAGTAGTTCATATGCCAAAACGTCGACTAAATAATGGTATTTGTTCCTGCGCGTTAATCGTGATTTAGTTGATTGGAGCGGATGTGTTCGTGCTTATTTAAAATGGGTGTAGGCTGTAACAGGGGGTCTTCCCTCTGTATCCTTTCGACTTTCTTGTGACTTTTGTGGGGAAAATTGTCATCTTGACCAGATTGGTTTTCGGCAACTGCTCAATGAGGACTTTAAAACGAAATGGGCAGCCTTCACTTTTTTTCCGTCGTATAAACCTCCAGTTTACACAATGACTGGACTGTACAGCACACGGCAACACTGCGCGCTTTCTGTAGGGTTTAGCTGTAATCCACAGCTCGGAGCGCAATTGTGCCTTACAGGGATAGGAGACGTTTAACTGTTTGCGGTAGTGTCGCCTACTGGAAACGCGAACAGGTGTCTCGCCATGTGGGAGTTTCTTTTTTTCCCTACTTACAGCAGTTTGGAGGTTGAAACAGCACAGAAGAAGAGAAATGATTTGGAAGTGAAACATTTTTTGTGCCCTGGGTTTCTTGGAAGAGCTACTCGCTCTAACTAAGCGATTATATGCATGAAAAATGATCATATTCAATACGTATATAATCATGTACAATCTCTCGTCCTAATTTTCAACAGCAGGGACAAATGCTTCATGTATTTCCTTTCGCTACTGATCATGATTCATGTCATCAGAATAATACATTACAATTATTAATAGCATGTAAATTATAATATACCAAAATCCAATTATGACATTCGGGAAACAAATACGTGTCGGAAGTTTATTAGGACAAGACCGTGAAGCGCAATATGAAATTTATAATACCAGAAGTGCAAAAAGAAAGGGCACTTATGAAATGCCATACATACATTTAAATAGCTTTGGAAATTCTCCCACTGTTGCGATTACCTGCCTTGATGTTTGAACTAAAAGAAACTGTGCACTTTCTTTCACCTCTGAAAATCGTCGCTATATCTCAGCCTGCAATAAGTAAAATGCATTAATGAATCAGCTCTTTAGCAGATTAAAGGTGTGACATAGTCCCATGTTAAGTGAAGTAAAATAATGGATGATGGATGCATCAGATGATATCTGAACCCACCCCCAGACATCTTTGTCATCCCACAGCACTTTATCCATATGTCCAATAAGAAAACATCCTAAAACGTGCATCAGTGAGTTGCATCTCCTATTGCATGTACTGTATAGAGCTCTGACAAATCTTTTTGCTTTTCTTCCGCGCTTTTTAATAATTTAAGACTACACCTGCAGCGGCACTCTTAGGAACAGGAAACACAAGGAAATGGTTGTGGCTCCATTCGTGTGTTCTGAAGTGCCGATCGGACACATTCTCTTCTTGCAATTGCAAAATAAAGGCACTCATCAAGCGTTAAGCAAGATAAAAAAAAAAGAAATTGGCGCACAACAGGGTACGACTAACCCACAATCAATGTTAAGATTTTTGCAAACTATTCCTGACTTTCCATGTACATGATCCTTCTTTCGGAATAAAAATGAAACGGGCAAGGGTTTTAAATCAGCAATGTCGAAGTGGGGAAAAGCAGGAGTAATCAATGCTTCACCTTACATACAGTTTTTTTTCCTTCTTGTTTGCAATAAACTAAGCCATGTTCCTGCCTGCACTCTGCACTCAATGTTCATGCAGATAAAGCAGCTGAGCCGAAATTTAATACCAGGGCAGACTGCTCCCTCCGATAACGTTGCCATATTCTAACATAATGAGCAGACAATTTCTTGGAAGGGATGAGTATCATTGCATAGTCACCAGGGTGAACCTTTTACAGCACGGGGCTGTTGCTTAAGAATCTCCAGGATCGTGTTGAATGAAAGACGCGCCAGCAAGTCGTACCCATCACGTAGGAAACCACAAAATACTAGTTGCATGTGAAAACATTTATTACAACATAACAGTGGTTTTTAGTTCTTAATTCCCATTAAATTTAGATGGGAGTGTTCTGCAGAAAGATGCACATCTACACTTACAGATGTAAATAGACAGCTACAGTATTGACATATCACCACCGGCTAATGTTCAAAATCCCTCTTTAAAATCCCCCCAGAATTCTGCAGTTAATTCTGAAAGGTTTTCCATTGTACTCTTTTCCCCATCTTCTCTGCAAACAGTACTTTCATAACGAAGTTTGGACCACTCAATTGAGTACTCTCCATGTGCGTGTTTTAAACACGTGTGTGTATATAGACAGAATACAAATTTAAATGGCCGTACATCGCTTCACATACCACTGGCCCCACCTAGCGTTCATGTTTCGAAGTTACCTCTGTCGAATCAATCCTGTACAGTTTAAAAGCTTTAGAGAATATGATCAAGGTTCCTAGATTTAGGATGCTCCGACACAAACATGAGAGACTAGTCGCATTTGCATGAACGTTCTCAACAGTACCTTCATTGAAAAATTATTTTTTTGCATTACTGAGAGTGCAAAGTGGAATGGCTCCATATTACAGGAAAAAAGTGATAAGTTAATAGTGGACTCCACTTTCAACCAGATTTTCATGCTGCAAGTCACGCATTCTATTAAAGTGGATTTGTGTATGTCGCACACAGCACCCAGAAGTGTGTCTGTTTATCACTGCACCTTAATCTAGTGAGAGTCTGGACGCATTGGAAATGAATGAGTTTTTGAAGACTGCAAGCACAGCCTCATCAAAAGGGAACCTTGTGTCGTCTTTGGCACAGCTCACTCAGGCCGTGTAGTCTTGGGTGATGGGGTTAAAGGGGCTGTTTTCAGCTGTGGACAGCCACTTGCCCACATGCTTCTTAATTTCAGTTTGCACCTGGAAAAACAAGACAGTCTTGATGAGCATCTGCTTTTCAACAGAATAAGGTTGATCAAAAACAAAATCAGCTGATGCTGCAGAGAGGGGTAGTGGTAGGTTGGTGTGAACAGGACAGTTCCTGTACTTTGCATGAGCGTTTTGGGTTCGTTGTCAACAAAGGAAAATAAACCAATTCGATCATGCGAAAACAAAACATCAACTGAAGGAGCAAAAGAGATAGCTTACCTCTCCATTCAAGAAGCAGTACAGGAGTGCAACAATAAATCCCTAGAGTAGAAAAAATAAATGCATCATTCATGTCTCAGCATAGTGCCCAACACTCCACTCTGTTGAGTGCACCCAATCTGAAGCGCCTTTCAAATTATAACACCATGATGGAACCCAGGTATAAATATTCAAGACCCTCTGGTTTGATACATCTTTTATTTATTTCAAGCATATCATCATCATCTAACTGAAACGAGTTTGGTTTGTGGCAAACCTCTTAGGTTATAGGTCTCTTCTGAATGGAATTAAGAAAATCTGAACACAAAGCTAGAGATGAAATGCCAGAGTACCAGAGCACTTAGGCAGCACAAGGTGACGTTGTGCCAACTGGAAAAGGGGACAAAGCAACTGGTAGTGATGCCAGTAGCTCTCAGTCCCGACACGGAAATAATCTTTTCATATTTAAGGAAATTTGGTGAGGTTTCATTGTTACGATTTCTGCAATTCAGCTAACTCCAGGGAATCCAGGGAAACCAGGGATGTGGGGAGGGCGTTCTGAGAGCTACCCATACCTGGAAAGACCCCAGGACAAGTTCAAAGTACAGTCGGAGCCTCTCTCCCACGTGCTCGGGGAAGAAGACAAACACGACGTAGTGGACTCCCAACAGAGGGGTCAGCAGCAGCGTGGATCTGGCCAGCCTCCTGGACACAGCAGGGAATTGCAGTAGTCAAGGCCAGCACCTTCACTCGGAAAGCAAGCTGTACCGTGCTCCAAACGGAGTCATGCAGTGTACTATGATTAACGCACAGAAATGCCAAGTACCATCCATTATATTATAGTCCACGGCAAACACACGCCAAGGCACAGAGGGGAATGATGGGATTCAGTTTCAGCTCGTGGCTTATGGGAAGAAGCTCAATTGAAGCATTGCACAAGAAAAAGAAAATCAGGCACTAAATTCAAGTCTTCCTGCCGCAAGGCATACAAGTCCAATCGTTTAATGAAGCCCTGATTTTCCAAAGGCTGCCTCCGTCACGTCACGAGCCGAAGCACCTGAGGCACCGAGCGCTGTAAATTAACTGTTTTCGACCTCAAAAAGGAATTGCGTCAACCATCTTGGTCCCAAAAGGGTTTTGAAGTGGAACTAATGAATAGCATCAAAGATCTTCCTGAACATCAAGTGCAGGGTTAAAAAGTAAACAAAATCTATAAACGGGTCATCCTTTTCTCAAAACTGTGGTACCATAATCCTCTTTTCACAATGCCAAATCATATCCTCAATTAATATGTTTAGTTTTTTTTAGGATATTTCAGCTGAAGGATTTCTTAAATATATTTAAGATTTTGATCCGGCGGCATTCTTCTTTTCAGGGGGTCCGATTTTGAGTGCTCCGATACTTACATGTACTGTGATCGGTCACACACGCCCACTTCTGGGGTCCTGATTTTCTGAAGAATTATCCTGATGACATTTACAAATATTATGAAATTAACCTGGACATGACAGAACAGAAAACACGGTTACATTTCCAGCCCCTTACAGATTGCCGGTATGTCCACCAAGTTACAGAACAGCACTAAGAATTTAAATCTTTTCAGCTCTTTGACTCAATGTTATCTTTCCTTTTTTAAAAGTTGTCATTGGGCGGGAAAAAAAAACAAAGCTGTTTGTTCCTTGTATTCAAAATTAAAAAGGCACTTGGTTAACACAAAAAAAAAAGTAGCTCTCGAAATACGACAGATTCATTTTGCAATCGTCTCAGCGTTTTTGGACATTGATCAAAGCCTGACTTGGCAACACTTACAAACACCGACAGGAGAATAGGGGCTTTGATAATCCACCAAAAGGAGCTCTCCAAGTCATCCCAGCACCTGCCAGATACACAGGGAGACTGCAAATGACCTAGTGTTTTTGAAATAGTGCATTAAAGGTATCCATGCACCACCAATACAAACTGGGAGAACATGCAAACTCCACACAGACAGCTCCATGAAAAAAATCACTACAATGCTGGATTTTCATCTTCTCAGGGGTGGGAATACAAACCCGTTGTTGTCGAACTGTGATTTGGCAAGGACCCAGATTAAAACTGAAATCATAGGAGAACCTGAAAAGCAGACAAATTCTCTATAAATACAGCAAAAGCCTTTTTCTGTGGACACACATTATGATACGATATGTAGTGTCATTTCTGACATGTGTCTTTTTATGCAATATGACAAATACGACAACTGAAGTACATTTCTAAATTGACTTTTTAAAGCATCTCCTTTCTGATATCCAACTGGAAGATGTAATGTATAATTTGGGTTCCCCCTAACAAATCCTATATTTGCTAGTTTAAAAAAATACAAATGCCAAAAATAGGAAGACTTTAAACAAAAAAAAAAGTGCAAAGATGCCAATTCAACCACGCTTTTTTAACAGTAAAAGGACAGTTACAAATGACAGTAAAATCTCTGTTCAAAGTGTTCACCCACAAGTTAAAAGACATAACAGAAGTGGGGAAAAATTAATATCAGAGGTGTCACATACATACCCCATCCTATAGCAGTGTACCAGCAAAAGAACCTCCTCTCGAGAGTGAAGGTAAATACCAGCAGGGTTTGCAGATACATCCCCTCTACCAGCAGCCAGAAGAAATTGGCTAGGACACAGTACTGTAAGAATGTGACCACCATCTTACAGGCCACCTGGAAGAGCCGGAGTGAAGGAAGAAAAGGCTATAGTGGGGAGTGCTAGCAGTCCCCCCACAAAACGATCCGTCCAGGCGTTGAAGCGCACTGAAAACAAATCTTCTTGCAGCAATTGCATTAGGAAATCTTTTTAAACCTGCCTCCGTTAAGTTTAACGATCCAAAAGCTTTTTTTTCACACCCATAAAATCATTATGGCTTTTGGCTAGCTGCAGACATTCATGGATACCAAGGACACAAATGGCTACTGTGCACGGGGTTTGAATGTTTTTCCTACAAGTATTATCTGGCGAGACGGACAGGATGCAGCTAAAAGGCGAGTTGTAAGAAGGGAACTCCACGTTCCTTCTGCACTCTGTGCCCTTACTGTTGAGGTGGTGCAGTGGTCCATGCCTTCGTCTGCGAACAGCACAGCGTCCTTCACAAACACAGCAGCCCCCCGCAGTATGAAGGACAAGAACAGGCAGATATGGATGTAAGTTCTCATGCACAGCAGTTTCCTGCAACACAAAACACTCCCACTTGTTAGCTGAAAGGCTCTTTACAGGTAGATAAGATCACTTTATTGGCCATATACAATTTCGTGCATTAGGAATTTGTCTTTTCACATGCTGTACCTCAGCTTGCTCTCCATGAGGCAGACAGACGGGGAGGGAGAAGCTGGGGGTCAGAGCGCAGGGTCAGCCATTTATATGGCACCCCTGGAGCAGCTGGGGTTAAGGCCTTGCTCAGGTGCCCAACAGAGTAGGATTCCTCTGCTGGCTGTGGGATTTGAACCTGCAACCTTCCAGCCACAGTGCCACCACTCCACCCGGGGAAATTTGGCCTAATTTCCATTTATTAAAAGGACCTGAAGACACGGCCCAACAGGTGGAAACGACATAGACCTGTTTTTTTTACCTCTCCCTGCAGTTTTCTGTATTTTAACTTCTGTGGAGGCCTGAAGGATGCTGTTCTGCTAGCACAAATTCTTTGAAAATCCTAAAATAAGGTAAGTGTAAATATAGAGATCCAGCTTGCATGTTTTCAGAATACAATGCCACTTCATTGTTATTTACAATACACAACAAAAAAGTTGGGTTTTCATCAGATAGACATGAACAGACAGAAATAATTGTAATACTTGCTTACCTAAATGTACAAAATATGAGGACAGCAGTGACCAGAGCAGTCAGTGAAGTTCCATATCCAAACGTGTATAGCAGCTTGACAGTAGCAAAGTATTCTTGTTTTAAGTGTAAGGAAATCTAAGAAAAGATTTAACAAACTATGTCTCACATAAGCCAAGGACAGGTATTACGAATTATGAAGACGAGATTTAATTTTTCCCTACCTTATCTTCCGTTTCCTCACCATTGTCTTCAAACTGGCAGGCGTGGTAATAAGGCAGGCTGGGTTTACTCCATCCACGAATAGTGCAGTTTCTGCTGATTGAAGCTGGAGAAGAAAAATAATTGAGGACGCCAGCGTAAAAGCAATCCAACGTTTCTTCAGTGACAAGCGCGCCCCCTTCTGGTGAGTGGGTGTATTGTTACCAGGCTAACCGCAACACAAAGGTCAATCCACTAATGAACATTGCTCATTGTGAATTTCTGGTAGATCCTGTATCTACCATGTTATTCGGTCTGATACGCCGTCAGAAAAGTTCAAATATACGTGCATCACCAGAGAAGTCTGTAGACACTCTTCAGACAGCTTGCAGGTTCTCGAATGTACTACTAGCTGAACAAAACAGTGTCTTTATGAGCGTCTTCTTTTGGACCGAATTAGGTTTGTAAAAAAAATAAGCTGATGCTGCACAGTGATCACAGAGTAGAGTAGTTTATTGGCATATCTACATGTACGTTGGAATTCTTATTCACGCTGATCTCTCGGGACATACTGTACACAGTACAACAGACAACACCACACAGTGTCGAGACACGGAGGGGTATGTGGGTATGAACGGGGCAGTACTTGGCATGACCATTCTGAGTACTGCGTCAAAAAAAAAATGAAAATTGAAACAAAATTGAACGTAGGAAGAAAGTGTTATTTCTGATACCTTCTCTAAGCCTTCAGACTATATTTTCCCAATATTCGTATATATTCGTATAAGGAATCATATATTCTGCATTTTTTTTTTTGAGGCAGAAGACGCCAATAATCTTCAAACTTCACAGTCATAGAAAACCGATATGATCTTTCTCTATACCTTTTTTTCTTACCCTAGGTCGGGTGACTCTGATGTGCTTTCGAAAACGGAGGTGGGCTACGGTCCTGAGTGGACCGCGTGTTCTTGTTACGGGTGGGGGGTGGCGGGGTAAACAAACAGTTTACAACACCCACCGAAAGATCATTCGATTTTCATACAAGATTAGAAATCCCACGCCGCGCTGCGTGAGTGAGTGTTACCTTTGGGTGCACCGAGAGGTCGCAGGACCTCAGGACAAGACATGGTCACTCTGTCTCCTACTGCAGCTGCTGGCCAGCAGTTCACGCCGTCCCACTCCACCAGACAGCCTAGATGAGGCAGGAACACAGGCAGGACACTGGGGGGGGTCATGGCTGAGGACGGACACGCAGGCCCCGTAACTGCATGGCTGTTTTTAGGCCAGCAAGCGTGGAAGAAATACGGAAACGGCGAGAAGATTGATTTTGCAAAAAAAAGACACAAGGAGGACATGATGGGCTACTTTTGCGTCCAAATCCTTTGGAGTTTTACACGATGTTTTTGCAAGATCAAAATAGCATTCCCAATATAGGTTTACATACTGAATGCACATGGTCGTACATAATTAATTAATTAATAATGGTGTTTCACTGACGAAAATGCGGCGATTTTGCAGAACACTGAGCGCACCTACAGTATATCAGGTCGTTTGCCTGACGAATTCAGGTTTCCATCAATCTGTATCCAGAACTGCGGAGCTGGAAATCGGAGCTCACCTGTGCTGTCGTTGTCGGCGGACGTCAACGCGTGGTCGTTACCGGTCTTCATCCGAGCGAGGCACAGGGCTGCTCGTGTTTGGAAATGGAGGACTAGAGAGCAGTCGGGATGAGTACAGGTCACCTGCAGCGTGCGAACAAC